CAAGTAGAGACACACTTAGGAATGGATCTTCTCCATAAGTGGGGGAGATGCAGGGGTGCATGTGTCTGGGGAGGAAATGCAGATTCGCAGCAGGGGGCTGAACTGGAATGAATTTAACTTGGCAGTGTTTCTCCCAGACATGGGTCTTGATGCTGGGCCTGCCAAGAAGCTTACTTGATCTGGGCTGGTAGTGAAGAAAGAAGGAACTGATTATTTCTTGGCGCCTTTACCCATGGGATTATACAAGTCACAGCAAATTTCTCTCAAAAAACTGATGAAAGCTCTTCCTTGCATAGTATTGTTGCCTGCTTATCCCCACTGCATACGTTATAGACACCTGCCCTATCTATCTAGGTGTATCAACTAGAGATCTACATACAGAGGAACCTCGTTTATCTGACAGGAGCTCCTGGGACGTACCCCTGAGAAATGCATTGGTAGAGATAGACTGGAGTCTCCACGCCTCTAAAAATGTGCTAACCACAGGGAAGGATATGGTGCCATTGAGGCTGTTTGTTAACTGCATTTGATTTGAACCCTGGATCTTTTCAGGGTGCCAGCATTGAATGTGTTGAGGGTTCGTGGATTGGAAATGTTGGGTGGTTCTTCCTTTTGACCCCTGTTAACAATAGTAGCTGTTTGCATTACCTTCCTTCCATTTCCACTTAACATGTGTCATTGGATCAGTCAGTTTCCTTGTCTTCATCCCTGTTTTGTCATCTATAAAATGAAGATATTTTATTGCTGGTGGTGTTGTTCAGTGCTGTTGAGTCATTTCCAACTCATAGCGACTCTGTATAGGGTTTCTGAGAAGCAGCGGATGGACTTGAACTTCTGACCTGTGGTTAGTTAGCACATTAGTGCTTATTCTACAGCACCACACCAGGATTCCCTTTTATTTCTAGAACTCTTGAAATTCCTCCACTGTGTCTTTGATAATACCATATCCAACTTGCTCTTATGCTTAGTGTTCTTAGCAGTGTTCCACCAGCCCCAAGACTTTATTTTGGCAACATTCTCTGTGCTCTAAGCTTTTTCATAGTTGGATGAGGCATGTGGGTGGTCTGGACAAGTTACAGGAAAGATTGAAATGAATATTATCTAAAAGGAAAATCCACCACACGTCTGTCAGTTTGGCATACTGTGGTGACTTGTGTGTTGCTGTGATTCCGGAAGCTATGTCATGGGTTTTTTAAATACCAGCAGTGTCATCCACAGTGGACAGGTTTCAACTGCACTTTCCGACAAAGACAGACTAGGAAAAGGAGAGACAGACTACTTCTGAATATTTAGTCACTGAAAACTTTATAAATAGCAGTAAAACACTGTCAGCACCAGAATATTGACTATTGGACCACTATGAATAACACCAGAATGTTGTCAGATGATGAGCACCTCAAGTTGGAGGCACTCAAAATATGACTGGGGAAGAGCTCACTCCACAAAGTAGAGTTGACCATGTTGATGCAAATGGAGTAAAGTTTTTGGGACCTTCATTTGCTGATGGGACCCAATTCAAAATGAGGAGAAACAGCTATAAACATCCATTGATAATCAGAACATGGAATATATGAAGTATGACTCTAGGAAAATTGCAAGTTGTTAAAAATAAAATGGAACACATAAAGATCGATATCCTCCCTAGGCATTAGTGAGTTGAAATGGACTGGTAGTGGCCATTTTGAATCTGACAATCACATGGTTTACTATGCTTAGGGATAACAAATTAAAGGGGAATGGAATCACATTCATCATCAAAAAGAACATTTCAAGATCCATCTTAAAGTACATTGTTGTCTGTGATAATAGGATCATATCCATATGCTGTTGTAGTGCTGTAAGATCTGCACTCTACCATAAGGTCGGTTTGAACTGCAAGGTCCATTATTGAAGCTTACCAGTTGCTCCTCAGAAACCATACACAGAGTCACTATGAATTGGAACCTACTCTTAACAACACTAATAACAACAACAAGGAAGACCAGTTAATACCACTATTATTCAAATTTATGCAGCAACCACTAAATCAGTGATGATGAAATTAAAGAATTCTACCAACTTCTCCAGTCTTAAATTGATCAAACATGCAATCATCTTGATTGCATGTTTGATCAATTTGGTATTTGGAGTAAAAAGGTGTGAAACAAAGAGAAAGGATCAGTAGTTGGAAAATATGGTCTTGATGATAGAAACAATGCTGGAGATCTCATGGGAGAATTTTACAAGACCAGTGACTGGTTCATTGCAAATACCTTTTTTTAAACAACATAAAAGGCTAATGTATGCATGGGCCTCACCAAAAGGCATACACAAATCAAATTGATTACGTCTTTGGAAAAAGACAATGGAAAAGCTCCATATCATCATCCAAAACATGGCCAGAGATGATAGACTGTCGAACTGACCAACAACTGCACATAGGCAACGTCAGGCTGAAGCTGAAGAAAATTAAAACAAGGTCATAAGAGTCAAAATATGACCTTGAACATAAACGACCTGAATATAGAGACTATCTCAAGAACAGATTTAGTACATTAGACACTAGTGACCAAAGATCAGAAGAATTATGGGATGACATCAAGAACATCATACAAGAAAAAAAGCAAAGGATAATTAAGAAGGAAACAATCAAAGTGTACGTCAGAAGAGATTCTGAAACTAGCTCCTCTTCAGTGTGTTTGGTTGGTTATGTGCTGTGGAGTCGGTTCCAACTCAGAAAAGAAGATGCGGGAAAAGAAAATCTCATCTTTCTCTCGCAGAGTGGCAGGTAGTCTTGAACTGCTGACCTTGATGTTAGCAGCCCAAGTCGTAACCACTATGCTACTGTAGAGATGCTAAAGTGAATGGAAAAAAATGAAGAGGTAAAAAACTAAAAAATGTTCACAGGGCAGTTTAAGAAGACAAAGTCAAATATTACAATGACTTGTGTAAAGACCTGGAGTTAGAAAACCAAAAGGGAAGAACACGCTTAGAATTTCTTAAGCTAAAAGAACTGAAGAAAAAGTTAAAGCTTTGGCTTATAATATTGAAAGATTCTGTAAGCAAAATATTGAATGATGCAGAAATGATGTTCAACCATTTCAAGAGGTAGCATATGATCAAGAGCCAATGATACTGAATGGAGAAGTCCAAGGTGCACTGATGGGATTTTGCATAAACAAGGCTATGGGAATTGCTGAAATATAACTTGAAATCTTTCAACAAACTGAGGCAGCACTGAAGGCATTTACTCAACTGTGTCAAGAAATTTGGAAGATGTCTACCTGGCCAGCGGATTGAAAGAGATCCATATTTGTGCCCATTCCAAAGATAGGTGACTGAACAGAATGCAGAAATCATCAGACAATATCGTTATATCGCATACAAGTAAAATTTTGCTAAAGATAATTCAGAAACGGCTGTAGCAATACATTGACAGAGCTGCCAGAGGTTGAGGCCAGGTTAAGATGGGGATGTGGAACAAGGGATATCATTGCTGATGGATATTGACTGGAAGCAGAGAATGTTTAACTGTGCGCTTAATTGACTACGCAAAGGCTTTCGATTGTGTGAATCAGGACAAGCTACGGACTACAGTGCGGATAATGAGTATTCCAGAACATTTAATTTTGCTCATGAGGAACCTGCATATAGATGAAGAAGCAGTCGTTAAAATAGAACAAGGGGACACTGAATGGTTTAAAATCAGGAAATGTGTATGCCAGGGTTGTATTCTTTCACCTTCAATCTGTAGGCTAAGCAAGTAATCCAAGAAGCTGGATTATGTGAAGAAAAACATGGCATCAGAATTGGAGGAAGACTCGTTAACAACCTGTGATATGCAAATGATACAGCCTTGCTTGCTGAAAGTGAAGACAACTTAAAATACTTACTGATGAAGATCAAAGAATAGCCTTCGGTATGGATTGCACCTCAATGTAAAGAAAACAAAAATTCTCACAACTGGACCAATTAATAACATCAAGATAAATGGATAGAAGATTGAAGTTGTCGAAGACTTCATTTTGCTCGGCTCAACCATCAACTCTCATGGAAGCAGTAATCCAGAAATCAAAGGATGTCTTGCATTGGGCAAAGCTGCTGCACAAGACCTCTTTAAAGTCTTCAAAAGCAACGATGTCAGTTTGAGGACCAAGATGTGCCTGATCCAAACCATGGTATTTTCAACAGTCTCATATGCATATAAAAATTGGACAACGAATAAAGAAGACCATAAAAGTATTAATGGATTTGAATTATGGTGTTGGAGGAGAATAATAAAAGTGCCATGGACTGCCAGAGGAACAAATGTGTGTTGGAAGAAGTACAGCTAGAATGCTCCACAGAAGCCAGGATTGCCAGACTTTTTCTCTGATACTTAGGACATATTATCAGGAGGGACCAGTTTCTGGAGAAGTATATCATGCTTGGTCAAGTGGAGGGTCAGTGAAAAAGAGGAAAACCCTCAATGAGATGGATTGGCAAATTGGCAGCTGCAATGGGTTCAAGGGTAGCAACAATTGTGAGATTGTCACAGGACCAGGCAGTGTTTCATTCTGCTGTACATAAGGTCACTATGAATTGGTACCACTCAATGTCACCTAACAACAACAACAAAAAGGGAAATTATGGGACTCTGTACAGATCAATGAAGTTCACCCACTAGGCTGAATTGGAATCAATATGCTGCCTTTTAGGATATAAAGGCTTAGTCACAGCAACATGGATCCATACAGACCTCATAAGCAAGATGTGAAAGAACTTATTGGTGACTCACTGCTTTCCCACAGTCTTAGCTGTAATAGCAGAAATGGATGCTGCTCTGGACTGAGGCTCTGGTGACTACATCAGAATATGAGCTCTTAAGTCCTTTTGATGTCCCTGAAAATTCAGTCTAGCATAGATACAGCAGTAAGGCTTACGGTCTGAAATGATAGAATCCCACTGTAGTCTTTAAATCCACAATTTTAATGCAATACAGAATTTGTTGAGCATCATGGGCTTTTTATATTCTTCTTCAGGTTTTCCATATGAGAAAGATCCCCGATTATACTTCGATGACACTTGTGTGGTGCCTGAGAGACTGGAAGGTAAGTAGTCTTTTCTGAGGTTTGTGGTCAAGCTGTAGAGTTAGGATGTCAGAGAACTTCCAGTCGTGTTGCCAAGGTAAATGACTGAACCAGCATTCACACCTTTTTGCCGAAATCTACTGAGAAACATGGGTCTGAAGTATTGTTTATGTATCTTTGCCTCAAACAGGCAAAGTCAAACAGGAGCCCACTATGTATCGAGAGGGGCCCCCTTACCAGCGCCGAGGTTCCCTACAGCTGTGGCAGTTCCTGGTTACCCTTCTTGATGACCCAGCCAATGCCCACTTCATTGCCTGGACAGGCCGAGGCATGGAGTTCAAGCTGATAGAACCCGAAGAGGTAAGCCCTGGGGGCTGGACTAGGATAATTTTTGAAATGATGATGATTGTTGTTGTTTATATATCCCTTGGAAGAGTCCTGGTGTGGTGCTGTAGGTCATTGTGCTGGACTGCAGAGTATATTTGAACTGCATGGTCGGCAGTTCAAGCTCACTAGCTGCTTTTTGGAAACCCTATTCAGGGTCACTATGGGTCAGAACCGACTCAACAGCACTTAACAACAACAACAACAACAATATATCCCTTGGGGCTTTTTATTGTGTTAACTATGCTCTCTTAGTCACAATCTAGCTCGTGAGTTAGTAGTGCCTGTCACTTGGACAGTTTACAATATATGGATAAGGCAAGCTGTCTATCATAGAATATATAAAAGGTATTGCTAACACTTCTGTAAGATCTGGGGAAAGAGGCTATGACATTTACATCCAAATAGGGTGGCTTTCTCACTTAGAAGGTCTTTTAAGAGTGTACAAGGATGTCCAACTGGCTCTAACCTAGAGAAAGAAAATATTGAGAGGTTGGTGCATCTTAAGAGCTTAAAATTTTTTTTTTTAAGTGTGGTATATGGTATCACAATATTTCAGAGATGGCACAAGCCATCACTATTTTGTTAGTAGGTTGGGGGCAGGGGGGAATTGTTGCTGTGTAGTTTGCCCAAAACTATTGGCAGGAAAGCCTGTGGATAGAACCAATACCCTTTCTTCAATGTTGAAGACATACCATAGAACCCATTTCCTGAATATTACAGAGCAAAGTAAATTAGACTCTTAGTTTAGCATTTCTGAATGGGTTTTATTTTTAGTTTCTACTTGATTTATAGTTTAGATAGATTATGAAAAACTATCTGCCTTAGAAACTGCCATATGCTTCTTATGGTAACCTGTCTTTAGGGGTCATTCCGTAAACTAGCAGAGAAAATGGTATCATTGGGTTGGGTGTAATTGAAATGAGAAAAACACACTTCGAAGGCATTTGAGCAAGAACAGCATTCTTAGGTCCTCATTTAAGTCTAGGGCTCACTGTAGCATACCAGGGGAATAAATTGATATGGAGGTTAACAATAAGAAGTAACAGTTAACAGTCTGGCATTTGGTTTGGAACAAGGAAATAATCTGAAAGTTAAGATGGGAAAAGGAGGAAAATGTATGGCTTGGAAACTAAAGAATCCTGATTGGTAAGAGAATAAGGACACCTTATTTATTAAAGGCAGTTGTAAAAGAGGATATTCGTCTGGTGGTCTCTGTCTTGAACCACCCATGAAAGTGGAACTATGTCAGCATCTCATATGTAAGCAGTTTCTGTTATGGCCCAGTTTACGATCTAAGCATTTCTTTTGCTCTGAGTTGTGTAGATGTGCAGCCATCTTATCCCACATCGACCTTCCTTCTCATTGCTTTCCTAATAATGTGGCCTGGTTTATATGAGGCTTGAGAAAAGCATGTCACCTAAACTCATGGAGGCTTTTTGAAAGTAGGTCTGTCCTGTGGGCAGCCCTTATTGATTTATCTCAGTTCACAAACAGGAGCTTTTATTACTTTATTGCCACTGCCTCAGGCCCTAGCACAGGCTGTACAGCTGCAGGTAAACCTGGTTATGACCCTTTGTAAAGTGGTTATTGAATCTTCTGCTCTCCTACCAGTGGTAAAGAAAATGATGAACAGATGGCAAAGGGCCCTGGCTTTCTTACTTCATAAAGAAAGTAATATTAAGCCAGAGTGCTCATAAATGCCAAGTAGTCATGTCACGTGAAAGGCCTACAGTGGCCTTGACTCGCCCACAGCTGATTGGGTAGCTTTATTCCTTCAGAAAGGGCGTCTGTCCACCCTACCTTGCGGTCCTGAGTGTTCCTTAAGCTCAGACTGTTTCCTGAACCGTTCAATTCAGTTCCCCGTGTGCACTTTGACCTCAGGACACAAAGTTGTTGCGCCTTTACCTGACTATGCCTTGTATAACTCAGGGGACCTTATTCCTGTTAATCTCAGGAAGATCCTAACCCCTGGGGGGGCGGGGGGAGAAGGAGTTGTCATGTGGGGAGCTTGAAGGGTGAAGCGGAGGAGGAAGCTGTTAGGGACGTAATTGTAGGCAGCTGTGTGGCTGAGTAGTGCACTCTGGGTAATTATCCATAATATCCATTACACTGTGCATGGAAATTGTGGTTTTAGAACTTCGTTTGGCAGGCCCCCTAATCAAATGTCTTTTGATAGTCATCCAGCTTAGCACCCTCTCAATTATGACTGACTCGGCTTTAATCTGGAACCATTTTAACTGTGAATCTGCATTAATGAATATTTTGGGGGTAGGGTTGTTTGTTGAACATGTGGCAGATAACTGATGCCATGGGGAGTTTTAAAAGAATAGGCTGCTAGCAAGAGCCTGTCCTGCATGCTGTGGCTCGGGCTCTCTCTTTAAAGGAGAGGAAGAGATATGTGTATGATTTAACTCCTTCAGCTTCGGTTCTCAGATGTGTGCTATTAAAGTAACTAATGAGAAAGATGAAAGAAAGATCAGTAACAAGCTATTGCCTGCCTCCCCCCCCCCAAAAAAAAAGGGGGCAGCCTTCATTTCCAGCTGCTCCATAGCTGTGCTGAATCACGCGACTGTAGGAGGTGCAGCCCTGGTGAAGGCTATGGAATCAGGGCTCTGGCCTGAGAGGATGAGTCAGTAACTATGGCTACCAGAGCTGCTCTGAAATCTGTGCATATACAAAACCTCCCTCCAGTCAGCTGTTAACATATGCAAGTGACTGCAAAATGGGGGTCACGGCTGAAGTCAAGAATATTCAAGAATTATTTTTCACCACTGTACATAGTAAAATGAGATGCTGGGCTTCTTTTAAAACCCACTCCCCTGCCCCCATCATTTGTGGCTGTCAGCCATTATAGTTCCATACAGTGTTGTTTCTTGTAAACATTGTGGAAGGGCAGGTATTGATTGGTTTAACAGATTTCCCTTCCTACCACTATTTTCCACTGGTAGCAAGATTTGTAGAGTTTTTGTTGGGGGGGAGGGGGTGGTAAATTTGGCCCTTTGGACCGTTGTTTGTTTTGAAGGTAGTATATTGAATGCATGCAATGTGGCGAAAATATACTCAGGCCAAACTTATGTCTCATAGAGACATGAAGTGAGCAATTGATTGGAAAATAAACTTTCATGGAGTTTTTTGTAAAGCAGAGAGAAGAATCATGGCTACTGAATTATCCTGTTGTAATCAGGATAGATGCATTCTTCCTCATCTATTGTTTCTGGTATTTATTTTAAATAACACTTCAGAATCTCATAGTCTGGTCCATTTTCTTTCAGTAAAGCTTCACACGTTAGCAGTGACCATCATCATGTGCAGAAGTATTCAGTTTTGTGTTTGGCCCTCAGTCTGCATCATTGGCAATATTCTCCATATCTGATATAGGTCCCTTTCACATTTTCATTCACCGTGTGGTTTTTAGTGGAGCTGATCTTTTAACAGTGTGGAGAATTTCTTCCTTAATTTTTGAGGATCATTGTGACTGTCAAGTGCAACATGCCTAAATCATAAACAATAGCATTCACTGTTTTTCCCATTTTGGGTTGTTTGATAACCTTTTGTTTCACTTCCAGATCAATTTATTTACTTGTCCTTTGCCTTTGCCCCTTGTTACTGCTATCACTATTGAGAAGCCATTATGCACTTCACAGGAATAATTTCGAAAGAAAATTAAACAGAGAGATGATGCTCTAACACTCAAGGTGTACCATACAGGAGATTGGGATTAGATGCTGCTGCTTATGTCTCAAAGCATACATTGTTACATGGTAAAGTTTTAGATAGGGTTTTTAGATACAAGAAGCTTCGAAATTCATGGGGAAAGTTCATTTTTTTCACAAACATTTGAAGCCCCCTCATATACTAAGATATTTATTATGATGATCAAGGTCATATGTATTATAAATTTTATACAATCTGTACTATTATACACCTGGACTCCTGGTGTAGAGCTGTAGGTTCATCACTAGACTCTGAACCTCAAAGTCGTTGGTTCAGACCCACCAGCTGCTCCTCAGAAACCCTGTATAAAAGGTCACTATAAGTCAGAATTGACCTGAGGCACTTATCAATAGCATTATACACCTGGCAACACAACCACTTTTATACAAAAGATGCATGCATATATTGCTTGTGGGGAACTGTATTCACTTCATCCTATTCTCCAACTGGGACTTCTGAACTTATTATAACCTATGGGACCATGAAGATATATGCAGTTAGATACTGCCCAAATGGACATTGTGTGGTACATGACTGTAGTTAACTTTGTTTAATAATAATAAAAAAAAATTCCAAAATTGATGTAAAAAATACTCAAAACATGGCCCTTGATTTGCATACAACGTGAAGACTCATGTTTTTACAGTTATTCTCCTTCATTGATATCTCACTGCCATCAATTCATTCAGACCTTATAGGATAGAGTAGAACAGCCCCATATGGTAAATCTTCATGAAAATAAACTACCTTCTCTTTTTCCCACAGTGGCTGGCAGGTTCCAACCACTGGCCTTTCCGTTAGCAGCCCAATGCTTTATCCCGCTGTTTCTTGGTTCCTTGATACGTTGTTTAGTGATGTTGAGTTGGTTCCAACTCATTAGCGACCCTATATAGGGTTTCTGAGGAGTGGCTGGTGGGTTTGAACTGCTGACCTTGTGTTTCGCAGTCCAGTGCTAATCCTACAGTGCTATACCAAGACTCTTGGTTCATTGATAGTCCTCTTTATATGTAGGATTTTGGGGTGTTGAGATTCTTAAGAAATTAAATTGCTTGGCTGCTCTGATAATCGGCTAACCCTGCTAGGAAGTTTTCCTGCTACATGATTTCTCAGCCCAAAGCTCCAATTACATCTCCCTATCACTGCACCTCAGGTGGACTGGGTTGGATATAATGCACTTCAGAATTGTTTGGGAAGCCCTGTTAATTTTTCATTAAGTGGGTAATGGTGCTACATGCTTTAGTGTCCATTCTGCTAGTCTGTTGGGAACAGGGGATTGGATGGCAGCAGGCTGAAATGATCTGATTCCCCCTTACTCCACAAGCTGCAATAAGTAAACATCTCCCAGCCCCTCTCCAATCTTATTAGAATTGAACTTTTGCTCTGCTGGCCCATTAGCAACTCACTAGTGTGTTTCTAATGTTTCAGGAATGACCATTCTAATTATTCCTTATTGACTGCTACAGAAACCATAGCACTTAATGGCAACATGTTAATGGGCTATGGGTATTGGTCAATAATTCATATGTGGAGAAATGGTAGAGAGCCTGCTTCCTCTGGGACATTAGCCAAACCCTCTGCAATCTTAAAGTGGTAGGTAGGATTCTTCTACCTCTAGGTCTCACCTCCTAGTGGTTGTGATGGAATCATCACCTTTTGTTGGTTGTATGGTCTAGAGAGAATTAAACACTTTCTCCTCCAAGTTAGGGAAACAGGTAACTGACCAAAACCAGTTGGCTTACAGAACTAGCTCTCCTGGGATTCAGAGAAAACCAATAGGTCCAAGGAGCATGTTTCCATGGCTCTCTGCTTTTCTCTCTCTCCAGGTTGCTCGGCGCTGGGGCATCCAGAAGAACCGGCCAGCCATGAACTATGACAAGCTCAGCCGTTCTCTGCGCTATTACTATGAAAAAGGCATCATGCAGAAGGTGAGGCGATTACAAGAGACACTTAGATCACCGGGATCACTTCACAAATAAATGTTGAGGGCATCTATAATCAGGCTGTTTAAAATGCCTAGCCTTAAAAAGTGGTTTTGAAATAAGAAAGAAAAATCTTGTGAAAACAAACACGACAAGAGCCAAGTGAGATATTCAGAGGTACTGGGGTACTGGGAAGCCAGAAGTGCAACGAGGAACACACAGTTGGAAAATTAGGCTTCTCTGCTTTACTTATATTGTCTCTGATTACAAAGATGGCCAGAAAAGTAGGCCAACCATTGCATCCATAAAGGAGCACATAGGGAGTCAACTTGAAAGTCGCTACTCCCACAGAGCAGATTGAAGTCTTTAGTTGTTAAAACACCTAGCCCTCCAAGTCTGTTGATTTGATACTCTGAAAAGTGTTAGAGGAACAGGAAAATCATACTTCTCTTTCAAAATCTACAGAAACTGAAACTCCAGTTGAAAATCCAACATTTTTAAATTGGCAACAGAGTCAACTAATTAGCAGAATACTCTTTGCAAAAGTAGAGAATGAAGTATATTTGGATGAATCCAGAGCAAAATTCTTAGTGGGATAGGCAATGAAAGGTCGATTGTAAAATCCCATAATGGGAATTGCAAATCATTGGTTGGTCATTCTTAGCCACTAAATGTTGTCCTATTCCCCACAGTCTATCATTTATAGGTTGAATGTTTCAGATTGCATAAAGCAGAGAAGAAATTACCACTAATTTAGATGGGAAAATTTTTTTTAGCATTCCCAGTCCCCCCCCCCAAATACTCTACAAAATAGCATGTAAAATCTAAAATTACAATAACATTCATAGTGTTCAAAGATACAGTTTAAAGATGTTGTTCACAAATACAGCTCAATGCTATGGTGTCTTGATGCTGAGATATACTGAGGACAGTTCCTGGGGGAGGGTGCTTGCTGTCTCTTTAACAGTTAACTACAAAACAAATGCTGAACATTAAATTACATAAAAGTGAAAAGCCTTTTCAGAGTTAAACTAGATACTCATGTAGGTCTTTTGTAAAAGGCAATAGATATAAAGCAACCTTTCAAAAAAGTGGGGAATACTTGCATGTATTTCAGCAGTCAACATTTTGTTTTGTTTTGTTTTTAATATTTATTTAATTTTTTTGTGAGTTATGTGATAGTTTACATGGGAGAACATTAGCTTTACATTCTTCCCTGTCGTATATCATTTCACTGCCACGGTTACAATCCCCTCCGTGCATCACAACATCATGTTTTAATGTAGTATTTGTTTTACCAAAATAATTGTTAGAGGCATACAAGTTATCAAGCATGCTATAAAGTATGTGTGTGGTGGGGGCGGTGAAGATGCAGGGAGGAACACTTGTTAAAACTACCATTCTGTTTAAGAATTGGAGTTCTGGTGTGTGATGCTGTGGGTTAATGCACTGGACTGCAAGGTAGGTTTGAATCACAAGGTCGATGGTTCAAGCTCACCAGCTACTCCTCATAAACCCTTTTACAGGGTCACCATGGGTCGGAACCAACTCCACGGCACTTAACAACAATGACAACAACAAGAGCATCTCCAGTGCTCTCCCATTTCCTCACTCAACACTTAATGCTTTCGCTGGCATAGCTACCTTCTCTCTTAATCACGTTTTATTAGTCTTTGTCTTACCAAAAGAATAAATGTTTCCTACATTAGTATCAAGTATGCTATAAAATTTATAAAAAACAAACCACCTGTTAAACTACCATCCCATTTGAGAACAAGAACATTCCCATTGCCGTCTTCCTGGCCAGCCCTACTTGTTTTGTATCACAATGTATGTATCCCTTTTCACTCCTTCAAGACTCTAAAAGTCCCTAGGCTCCTGGCTCAGTATTATTTCTACTATGGCCACCTGCCTTACTCTGCCCCATTCACTTAGTGACTTTTGGGGATTGGAAATCAGGGATTTAAGGTATGTTATTGTTGAGCGTAGTGGTTACGAATCGGGCTGTGAACCTTTAGGTCAGCGGTTCGAAACTTTACCAGCCGCTCCGCGGGAGAAAGATGAGGCTTTCTACTCCCGTAAAGATTTATACCCTCGGAAACCCTGTATAGGGTTGCTATGGGTCGAACCCGACTCAATGGCACTTAACAACAACAACAATTGTTGTTAAATGCCATAGAGTTAGTTCTGGGTCAAAGTGACCCTGTACAAGGTAACAAGTGGTGGGTTGAACCTCTGACCTTGTGTTGTGCAGTCCAGTGCTTATCCTACAGCATCACACCAGGAATCCATATTTAAGGTGTAACCTGTTTTAAAAACAAGTAGGGATGGTTGATGTCTATAGCTACCCCCCTCTCTTAAGACTTCCTTTGATGGAGATGCTGATCGTCTACCTTTATACATGTAGCCCCCAGTTCCTCAGTTTGTGTGTGCCAAGGAACAATCATGATCTGGTGGCTGGACTTAGAAGTGTCACCCTAAAATCAGTTTTATTTTATAGTGGTACCATACTATAGAAATAGCCACTGTCGTAACAGACTTCTTAAAGCCAGTTTTTAGAAGCAACACCTTATTTCTTCAGTTGAAAAGATGTTAGAGTTAGAGCAGAATAATTAGGATCATTGGTCTTCAGTTTCTCATAACTAAAGGGCAGGATTAAACTCTGTAATTTGAATTTTTGAATCTAAAATGTTTATTTTATCAGTCATTGTAGCCCCTTTCTCTCACCCCTCTGCATTACTTCCCCAAAGCCAATTACCAGGCTTAATTTCAGTGGCTTGTGCCCTCTTGTACTGTTGCTAAACAACCAACAGAGTGGGTGATCCCATTGACCTAAATAGTTCATCAACTACCTCATCAGGCCCTTGAATAATGGAGACCTTTTTGGTTCTAATCATCTGATGTATAAAATCCACTTACAGGCAGTTATCATTTATCTTCCTTCACTGTGGAGGGACCATGGATTTTGAGTAATTTAAAACTGAAAAGCAGTTCTCTTCAGCTTTAAAATATACTTAAAGTTTCCACATAGGTTCTGTAATCCAATTCTTAACCCATAGTAGGTAACAAAGCCATACTGTGAATACACAGTAAACTTTGGAGGGAACTGAAAAATGTGGTCTGACTTCTGCATTGTACCTCAGTCTTTATCTCATTTAACACCAAGCGTGAGCCTCCACATGACTGTTAGAAAGTGAGGATTTGTCTTTTTAAAATAGCTATCTAGTGTGGATTCGAATTTCAAATCAACTGCTGTGCTATAGTACCAACAAAACACTTGGCAGGTAATAGGTCCCCAAGATTTTAAATAAATCTGAATGATTTGGCTAATCAGCTAGTTGCTGAGCTTCCTTTGGTGACTTACAAATGTCTCATTGTTCTTCCCTTGATCCTCAATGCTCTGTTCCAGCTAGATCTTGAAGGTGTGTTTTCTCTCTCAGGTGGCAGGCGAGCGATATGTCTACAAATTTGTCTGTGACCCTGATGCCCTTTTCTCCATGGCCTTCCCTGACAATCAGCGTCCGTTCCTGAAGGCAGAGTCTGAATGCCACCTCAGTGAGGAAGATACCCTGCCACTGACCCACTTTGAAGACAACCCTGCTTACCTCCTGGACATGGATCACTGCGGCAGCCTCCCCTACGCTGAAGGCTTTGCTTACTAAGTTTCTGAGTGTGGCTGAGCGGCCAAATCCTAGAGCTAGCAGCAGTTCCCATTCAGGCAAATGAGGGCAGAGGTTTTGTTTGTGTTTTTGGCTGTTCCTAAAGCTTGCCCTTTGAGTATTATCTGGAGAGCCTCAGCCATTTCTGGATTGGTACCCTTCAGGACAGACACCTTGGCAAGGGAGTGGAAACAGGGAGGGTTGGAAACCACCAAGGGGAAGGGGCCTCTGATTCTGAAGAGGTTTCTGTGGGAAGAGATTGAAATGGAGTCTCAATGCCATGAACAATATATGCAAAGCAATACCATGTTCAGGTTAGTACCCGCGCACCGGGAGAGGAATGTGTGACAATCTTCATTGATCTTGGACTACTAAATGCCTTGATACAGAAGGGCTCTGATTTGCACAATGTATTGAAAACTCACACACCCATATGGGAGTAGCTAGGCTAAGTTGAGGAGACTCAAACCATGACAGGTTAGAAATACACCTTGGAATTCGGAGCTCAACCTGAAACGTTGCCCCTTTGTCCAGAAAGAAGAGGGGAGAGTCAGAACAGCTAATAATCTCCACTCCATGGTTCTCAACTAATAAACCATTGCTACTCTTGGGAACCTTCAGCCATGTGGCCACCAAGTCAAACAAGCCCCCTTTCTCTTCCAAGTCACATGGTTGTATATGGATGGCTTTAATTTTCAGAGAAAGGTGTTAACACTTTTGACAGTATTTTGGTTTGCTTTGACTTGGGAGTCTGTTTTGTTTTGGTGGTTGTTTTGGGGGGGGATACGGTTTATAAACTGATTTTTGTAGTTTTGGTATTTAAAGCTTAAAAAAAAACAAAAACAAAAACAAAAAACCTTTTGGTAACTGCACTGTGTCTTTCCGATGAGGCCGTGCAGACTTACAAAGATGCTGCAGCTTGACGGGGCTTTGCTGGGCTTCCCTGGAGCCATGTAAAAGCCCACTTGTTGCCTGCTTTGTGCTCTCTGCACCAGACAGCCTGATGGAACATTGGCACATGAGTTGTACATTTTTGAAGTGTGCAGGGCATTCTGGACACCTAGCTTGGATTCTGTGTGTATAGTTCCCCGTGTTCACTGCCATGCCCTCTCTGGAAAGCATATGTACATAATACATGTCATGCCTTTTTGAAACTTGGCTACCTGGTGGGAACCCTAGGGACTTCTCTGGGCATGACTTGCGACAATTTCCATTTCTTCCATTTATTTTGTTTTCCTTTTCCTTTACATCTTGGACTTTAAACCCTGCATATGCTTCAATAGGGTTTGAGGCTCCCATGTGATGCTTTCAGGTAAACTACAGTGCTAGCATTTTAGCTTTCTGCCACCCTTTTTTTTTTTTTTCCCTGTTCCCCAATTAACGTTTATTCTGATTGCTGTATTATACTGAAAACGTTTTAAACAGCCAAACTAAAGCTATGTGTACGTTGAGCACAAAGTAGAAGAAATGTCACTAGGAAGTGGTAGGACCTTGCTCTGTTGGTAGAATTCTGTGCCCCCAGGCTGCTGAGCACGTTAGAAATGACTGTGCTGGTCTTCCTAGGAGAAGGTGACTCACTGAGTGGAGGACACAGGCTTCGTGTTTTTCTATAAATGGAGCTTGCTTTCTTTGGTTTCCAGAAGGTACCCCCCCCCTCATGTCCAACGGCACATTGGTGAAGTGTCTCGCGGGGCAATGGGGTGCATTTTATAGCTAGGAAACTAGTAAGGTTTTCCTCTATTGGAAGCTAATTGGCCCTCTAAGGTATTGAACCTATAACTTGGGCCTTAATTAGCCTTGTACTCTAATCAAAAGACTCTTTCCAAACCATATTTATAGCTTTCTAACCTACACATAGTCTATACATATATGCATATTTTAACCCCAGCTGACTAGAGATTTATTTGTTGTAAATGCTGTATAGGATTTGTTTTTCCTTTCTTTACTTATCCTGATTTGGGATTTTTTGGGGGGTGATAGGGGAGGGCAGGGTGGGTGGGTTTATGCTGTCTTTGCAAGTCTGAAAATAATCCTCTGTGGCCTGAGCTCCCCTTCCCTTGCTGTGAGCACGTGGCCTGTGTTGTCACAGGACAGAGGATAACCTTTGCATTCCCATCGGACTCATGCACCTCTGGATGGATTTTTTTGTTTTGTTTTTATTTTTTGGTTTTGGGGGTGTGGGGTTGGTTTTTTTTGTTGTTTTGTTTTATTTTTCTTGGCTTCTTTTCCAGAGTGTGGAAAGCCTACAGTGCAGAAAGGCTTTAACCTGCCAGTCGATTTGATATACTTTCCCCTGCGCAGGGCCGTATGCATCCTGCCAAGCTGCATTATATTCTGTACTGTGTACAATAAAGTTTGCTTTCAGTTTACCAAATGCCTACAACCTGCCTCTTTCTTTCCCTTAAGTGCTTTCATTTTTAAGCCCGCAAAAGCCACCTGGCATCTTGTTTCTGTCTGGCTGCCTTTCTCTTAACTAGTTAGCAGGATGAAGGGCTGTTGTGATAATTTTTACCTGGAAATTGAAGTGCACAGTTGCTGTTTGTCTCCCCTTTTGAACTCTTGCAACTAGTTTTTGGGATATAAACTGTTATTGTTTTCAAGGCACTCTGGTAGCGTACTGGTTACGAATTGGGCTGCGAACCTCAAGGTCAGCAGTTCAAAACTATCAGCTGTTCCCCCGGAGAAAGATGAGGCTTCCTGCTCCCGTAAAGATTTACAGCCTCGGAAACCCTGTACAGGGTCACTATGAGTCAGAACCGACTCCACGGCACGTAACAACAACAACATTATTTTCATAAAGTTTTGGTTGTTTATTTTTTTAAAAGCTTTTATTGTGCCTTGAGAGATAGTTTACAAGGGAGAAAATCAGTTTTGCACTCATCCTTTCGTATTTTGTATCACTGCAATGATTACAATCCCTTCCATGCATCACCATTCAACATTATTTGCTTCTATTCCCTCTGCTTTTTTGTTTGTTTGCTTGTTTTAATGCACACTCAGGAATATGTAATCATTAAAACAACCCAGGGGCACATCCTGGCCACCAGCACACAGCCTTTCTCTTTCCATGAGTCTAGGGTCCTCAGTGCTATATCTCTCAATGTCATCATCTTTGCCTCTGTCTCTGGTGTCGCTGCTTCTCTGAATAGGGTTCCACATTCCACTCATGCGCTTCTACCTGGATGGTCTTAGGGTCCTCTGTTCCTGGAACGGACGATTAATTACTACCCCCCTTTATGTTACAAAACTTTTACCTTTACAGTTGTGACAGTCTCAATTACTCATGATAACAATTACTCACTATTGAATCAAAAGAATCATATCCCCATCTCCTTTCACCAGCTCCATCTAGACAGGATGCAGACTAATCAGTGGGGATTCTACCTTCCCCCACACACTCTGAAACTAAACTCCCTCTTGAAAACTTGTAAGCCAGCCACTTCATGTCTTTTAATAAATTGCCTCTCCATTTTAGGTAGTCAATGACTAAGTTGTCCATCCCTATCAAATCTTGTGTACAAAGGGGCTGTGTGATCCTTCATGTGAAGATTCCTTCCCTCTCAGTTGGTATTTGAGCTACTACATCCATAAGTATAGGTCAAGTTCATCAAATTATAGCAATTTACATTTGTTTTCTTTATCCTCCTCTATTTGAATTCTGATCATCAAGCCATTGAAGCTAGGTCAAATGTGGCAACTAGTATTTTAAGAAGCATAACTCACACTTGGGTCCTGAATTGTGTGACAAGATGATTAACTAGTCTAGAACTTGGGGTCCCAGAATCTAGTGAATCCTTAAGAGTGATACTTGGCAAACTAGTTAAAGCTTATCAACACCTTTTATTTCCTAATCCCCCCCCACACACACACACACACAACAAGTTCTGATCTTAATAAGTAAAATTTTTACTAAGGGCTTACTCCATCAAAAATGAAAAATACAACATAAACCCTAGGAAGGTTTTACCTGTTTGATATTTTTCCAGCCTTACAGCAATAAAAAATCTCCAAGTTTGTCTCTTTCTCATGGGCATTCATCACTTGGGAAATGTGTGAAGAAAGTAGAGTTGGCAGGGCTGTGTGTGCCTTTTAGGGTTCTTATTTCACCCCTTCTCTGTACCTTTAGTTTGGGCTTTTCAAGACTCTTATTACAGTGAAGAAATAAGTAGAGCTTTCTTTCTAGCTGAGAACAGAGGCTTTCTGTAAGTTTATCTACTATCTTTCTTTCACTGTTTTACAAGTTCTTAAGTGTAGAAACATCTGAGACTGAATCCCTGCACAGCCACCTGAATCACCGGAATTGGAGCTTGTGTAGAATGAATGCTGCGACATAACCCATTAGCTGGGATGTTTTAAGCAAAGGCCCTTAGAGAGAGGAGCAGGAGGGTGCGGAACAAAGCAAGGTCGGCCTCAACTTCACTATGATTAAGGCTTTGCAATCAACTCCCCGTTATTCACAGGTTCATCCAGCCTGGGCCCAGACCCAGCTCATTAACCTAAGTGTGGGGAGGTCACCAAACACTGCTGCTCTTCTAGTGTTGGGTGCTTGGATAAGGGAGGCCAGAAAATGAAGTTTACTCTACATTAGGATCCCCTTTCATGAGCCAAGCCAGGGAAACAATGCTTATTCAGTTATACGATGACAAAGAGGTAGTGTGAAGGCAGAAGAATGTGGTTTTGAGAGCCAGAGTATGTGCAGAATCCCATTTCTAACACAGCTGGTACAAATGTGAACTAATGTGGAAGTAAAACACTAATAGACTGAGACACTTGGAAACCTTGAAGGGATACCCTGTTGCCCAGTGGTACAGGTGACTCGAACGCTGAAACAAATGAAGAGAAAAAAAGCTAGAGAAAATAGGTTTTACACAAATATCTAATGTAAGCATTCCAGTCAGCTCAAGTGTGTTGTACTTAAAATAGGAGTGTGGGCATGTCGCATTGTGACAGCACTGTATCCTTTTGATCCCAGCAAATACACTGATGTCCCATTCAGAAGGGGCCCCTTGAATGACTAGCCTTTCCTTAACTCTTCAATTTAGAAGCTGGCTCTACCACAGCGCCTGAATTTGTTGACCTTGGCAGTGAACCACAGATAGCTAAACTTTGGATAGCACTTCAGTTTCCAGAACATTTCTTCATCCCCATTATCTTTTTGGCAGCCTTTCTTAAATAGTAACACTTTGTTGAAATTGAATCTGAAAATTCTCATGGCTGTTAGCCTCCAAAATTACTTTCTTTTTGGAATGTTCCCAGTGGCTACTGTGGAAAGAGAACTAGGCACTGGGAGGCAGGACATTTGGGTTCTAGCCCTAGCTCTGTGGTTAGTTGGATTTAACTAGATAGTGTCAGCCATTCTAGCCATAACCTCCCAGTTCAGTGAGGTTACTGATAAACTCCTATCTCTTAGGAGGTAAGGGAGTGTATGTATGTGTGTGCTGTTAAGTGCCATCAATCAGTTCCGACTAAGAGCAACCTTGTCTAGTGTTTCCAAGGACCGACTGGTGAGCTTGAACTATTTTGTAATTTAATAGTTAAGAAGATCAGTAGCTAGGAGGGGAGGAACAACTTGGAAAAGGAAGGTGAGAATGGTTCTACAACTTAAGGAATGTCTCTGAATTGTACAGATAGAAGTTTTGAACGTCTATGTTCTGTTGTGTAAGTTCTCAACAACAATAACAAAATCACATCCATACCAAGTCACCAATTTTAACGAAACTCTCAAGAATGGTTATTCCCACCATTAAAGTCATGTTGATTCATTTTCCAGGCACTGCTGGGTGCTAAATATAAATAATTTAAGGGGATGGTTTCATTATACTCCTA